GGTCTATTTACTCCTGACTGAATAGATCTTATTTTGCTCACGGCATGGGCTGAACTGATTTTCTGCCATTCTGTGTTGCCACACAGTGAACTAATAATGACAAAGAGTGGCGTTCAAGAACACTTCCACCGTAAGCAGTGTCAGAGCTACTCCCATCACTACTCGCTGGTGTTGGCTGAAGCCGGAGGAGGCGGGAGAAAGGCTAGTCACATCCTCACAAGTGTCCTCAATATGTCTCATACACGCCTCCAGCCTCTGAGGAACTGTCGCCAGAAGGATACACTCTTCCCTTTCAGGGGGAAGAAAAGCCAGAGAGAGATATTCTTTTGATCAGAGTCATGGGCTGGATATTTCAAGGAACAACAAATCCAATCCTGCCTCTTTGATATAAAGCTTGTAGCTTCTATATGCAGGACTAAATGCTTCTTAGAAGCTGACGACGGCCTTTTTTGGGGTAAATACATCATCAGAAACAAGAGTTAATTGGCACTTGGGAGGAAAAAAAGAAGAATGTGTGAATTCTGTTTAGCATGGAAATAAAGCTGCTCTGTAATGACCTTTCCCAAAGCCTAACTAAAGCACTAAAAAGCTGGAACGGCAAAAAACGCTGGAAAGCAGATAACACCTCAGACTTTCACCTTCTGATTTCTTTTTTTACAATCTAGGACACTATGATAGAGCTAATGTCTGTTCACCACAAGGTGACATCTTACACACAGTAGGGCTGGGATGTATACCAGTATGTAAGTGAATACCAACATCCCATAATTTTGATTTTACCATATTGTAGGTATTGTGATAAGCTCAAAAATGGTCTAAAAACAGCTTTGCCCCAGTGGTGTAGTCTAGTCCAGTGGTTTGCAAGAACCCCCAGACGGTCCACATTTTTGCTCTATCCCTATGCAATGCAAGTTGGGTCAGGGCAAAAATGTGAACTGTCTGGGGGGTCCCTGAGGACCAATTTGAGAACCACTGGTCGAGTCTAAAGTAGTGGGCATACTATGACTAGCAGCTAGAAAGACTAACTACACCAATTACTGTATGGTATAGTGGGTTAAACTTGCCTGCTATTCCATCGAGAGTTCTTTGGGCAAGACTCCTAATGCTACATCTGCCTACATCTGTAACGTGACTAAAACATTGTAAGTTGCTCTAGATAGCTCGATAGCTGAGTCAACCACCTTTCCTAGTGGGTATACATGCATTTCATGTAGACAGCACCTCTGCTCCACCCCACAAGTTTAAGGCAACTGTCTCACAGATTTAGAGTTAACTAGTTCACCAATGCCCTCATGTTGACTCAAAAAAGCAATAAAGCAAGTTGCCTTAAAATTTCAAGTTGACCCAACTGTTCTCAAACCAGTCATCAGAACCCCCAATCAGTCCATATTCTTGCTCTTCCCCAGCTCCCAACACACTTAAGGGAAGCCATTAAAAACACTGAATACCTGGTATATGTGCACTGGGAGCTGTGTTACAGCAAAAGCATATTCGGGCTATTTATTTATTTATTTACTTATTTCTAATTTTCAACAATAATACTAATAATTTCCTTTTTATTTTTAGCACATTGTGATATACAATTTTCCTGATTAAAACCTGTGTAAAACATATTGTGGTGTCAATTTGATTTTGTATCGCCCACCCCTTATGCCAAGTTATTCCTACAGGGTAACACAGTGCTATTTTTTCCCCCCAAGTTTCAACACTTCTGACTTGATGGCTGGATAATTAGTTGTTGAGTTGAATCTGGCAGGTCACAACCAAGAAAACACTGAACTGTCCTGTGGTCCCCCAGGACCCACAGTGACAAATGTGAGTGACTCATTTCTGGACAACAGCTTTAATGATTTCCAAATGCTGTTTTTGTTGTCGTTTTTAATTTTTCTCTTAAATCAAAACGTACCCACTGTCCTCATGTTTAAAAGTCACACTTCCACTGAACACTAGCAGAGAAAACAGTATCTCTAAGAATTGCTGGGAATCCCTTCCCCTCTATCAGAGCCCAGCAGGAAGCGAGACTGTGTGTGTAAGTGTGTAAGGTGGGACGAGGGGGAGGGGGGGTCTTCCTGGCTAAACTTGCTCACTTTCCCCCCAAGAACCACAACAGTCACCCTGAAACAATGACAGAAGCCATTAGAGAGCCAAAAGTAAAGCCAACACACAAAACACAGGCTCCTTTCCTTTCACTCTCTCTTCCCTCCTCCCTCTTCCTTCAGCAGGCCACAGAGTGTGTGTGTGTGTGTGTGTGTGTGTGTGTGTGTGTGTGTGTGTGTGTGTTTGTGTCTGGCACTGAGCCATCCTCTCTCTCTCTCACTCTCTCGCTCTGAGCCAGGCCAGAGGCTGTCCACTCTGTCAACAACCGGATGTTTACAGCTCAGCCTGTGCATCCCTCTTCACCCAACTGCAGGGAGATGTAAAAGCTATCCCTATTGTGTGTTGCACAGAACTTAAAAACGCAGTTCTAACCTGAAGAAACCCCACTACGTTTGTTACGGTTAATCAGGGTTCATGAACGTCTGCACAGCACAGGTCAAGTTTGAATTTGCATGTTCGAAACTTTCAAGTTTCTCATAGCCCACTCACAGTACGCTGTAGTTATTTGTGTTGGCTATGAGGCCAACATTACAAAATGCTACGCTTTAACTATTTTGCTATGAAATAGTATTATCCCAAAAAAAACATGATTTACATTATAATTGTGGTTTAGGCATACGCGAGTTAACGCCAACAGAAAACAGTATAATAAATCGCAGACAGATTACATCTACCATGATTGCAAATTTTTTTAGTGCTTGCTAATCAGATAAAATTGTGTTGCAGGCACACAAAGCCTTCCCTTGCAAAACATGAATGGTGACTTATTAAATTATTTTGATGTTGTGATTACATAAAGTGATTAAAAGCAAAGTAAAAGACAATGCATGTTATTGTTATTGATAACCTAACAATAATAGGCTGCAGTAACAGTAACCTATAGTCTACTTTCACATGGTAATACTAGCCATTTTATGATTTTTGGAAGTGATTTATGGCCTTTAAACGCATGACTTCTTAAACCTACAGCAAGAACTATCAAAATACAGCAATAACAAAGCTATCCTAAAAGTTCATGATCTGAAAAATGAGCATGTGTTTTTTTTTCTCTGCAGTTCAAGCAGTCTTCTCTGTGCCGTTACCACACCACCTCACATGCTGAAACAGGTTACTGGAGAAAGGTTTTCCATTAAAAAGATCTGCAGTCTAAGTCAGTTGCAGCACCTCAGAGACTATTTGAATTTTTCTTCTCCTGAACACACACCTACACGGTGTGCTGTCGGCATGTCATAGTGGCTCTTTTTTGGAAAGCAGCTCCATCTTGCCAGCCACCATGAACCCCCACATCCCCCCCACAACACAACCTTTCAATCGCAATGACTACAGACCGCAATCGGGCAATAGTATATTGCACATGATCTCACAAGGCTAATTTAGAAAACTACTGGCTGACCTGACCAATAACTTGAGATGAATGTCACTATATTTAAATAACCATGCAAATCTGCAAATCTGTATTCGGAATGTTGAGTGTCATTCAGTCTCTAGTTTTGGAGGCCAGGTTTGATCAGGTTGGACAGAAACTTGCCAGGCTACATTTGGATTTAAATTCAAATCTTGGTGCTGTGTGTCAGCTGGATATGCAGGTATAGAAGGTACTCATGCTGTGTTCAGATTCAGTTCGAAATTTCAGCTCTATAACCCTGTACAGCACTCAGGTTGAGCCTGCGGCTGCAGCACCCATTTTTGGGCCCTTCTGAGTCCCATGTATTATGCAAATGGAACAAGCACAGATGAAGCACGGCGTGAGACTTGAGCGCCAACAGGCATGAGGGACGAGAGTCAGAGTGCCTCTGCATGGTAAAATGGATTTTGATGCTATTTGGAAAAGTACACACAGCATAACATGCTCATTTACGCAGGAAATCAGGCATAACACCTCAAATGACACCTTACAAGGTGTCTGTGAGAGCTGTGAACACATCCTTAACAATATATAAGTGAAGAAACAGAGCCTGATGGACATCAGAGATGTGCACAGGTACTCAAGTACTCTTAAATGCTGGAGGTGCCAGTATTTGAATACTGAAATCAGTACTCGAGTATTCGTTCTGTTGTATTACAGGAAGATGAATAAAACACACAGACCCACAATTTAGTGAAATGCAGATTTTAGGTTTTATCACAATTGTAAAATATGAAAGTTTTGCTTGTCTGTGTATGTTACACTTTGCTACTCCGCAATATGTGTGCCTTAATGTAAACATATTGTTCAAAAAGCGATGTTAAACACGAGACTGAGAAGGCTGAGATAACAAGGCTTTTATCGTTAAACAGGCTAGGCTGATGTTGGATACAGAAATGTTCAAAATATTTTCTCTGACAAACTAACATGACAAGTGTATTCAGCTTCCCGTGTTACTGATTAGCTGTACTTTGCTTGCTTGCTTGTTTTGCTATAGTAAGTGGACCTGATAAAACAAAGAGTGTATTACAAGATGTTCTTCATAAAGTGGTCAGCCAGTGTATACAAAGTACAAATATTATATTTAGGCATGCACAATGATATTGGAATCATATCAATACTGGCAGATAACTAGTTTAAAAAAAACACCAGCATCAGAAAGATTTGACATTTCACACCAATTTATGGTAATATACATATACAGTACCCTGTAAGAGTAGAATGTTTGGCAACACTGGGCCACTGAAAATGTCTGCATTGTATTCATTGTATTGCTTTTGTAGCCCTACAGAAATAATGTGATATTGTCCACAATGCTAATCCAGGTAGATGTAGTAATATTTATGTACCGGCATCACATTTTTTTATCTTCTAAAAGTGGGTTAATCCACAACAAATCCTGTGTCGCTTCACGTCAGCACAACTGTTGCTAAATGCCCACACCCTTTTTCAGCCACTGAATGAATATGAAAGCTTGTAGACAGTGCAGCGAACATACCTCAAAACAGTACTGTCTGCAGTCCCCTCCTAGAGAGATCTCCTTAAGTATGATCTTCTCAATGTGCAACACTGCAACATCAAAGAACAGAAGTATCAGAATTTTGCTGTGAGTTCTGTACTGTTAAGTGCAGCTGCACAATATTGACAAAATTCAATGCTGAGATTATATTACTGGCCCTTCATGAGTCAACAGTATTTCTGTGGGTTTTAAATATATTGTGCCAACTGACTGGCCGGCATTATTTTGGCCACAATTATTTGTTTGTTGGGTCAAGTGAATGCCTTGATCCATCAAAACAAACATAGAAATGACCACATGGAGGGCATTTTCAGGTTGCTCAAAACACAAAAAACATCTCATGATTTCTTAAAGAACTAATTTGCATATTGAACCTTTTTGCAATATCAGAATTGCCAAGGTCAAAACTGCAATAGCAATCATTAACCAACTCATAGACCTACTTCTACAGAACGGTAATGTCAGCTGAATAGCTTTGGTAGAGGCCACCCTGAAAAAGGAACAAGCCATTTTAAAAGTACTGTACCTTGCCTCTGAGGCATGCCGCTGAGGTGCTGGACTGGACCAGGACATGGTGACCACATTCTGCTCCCCTCAGTGTGTGAACAGAGGTAGTCCGGCCGAGAAAACTCGTTCTGCTAAAGCAGCAGAGAAAAGACAATCACTCAGTGGGTTCAGCAATACTACAAACAAACTGTGTACAATGCATGTTCCCACCACATCTGGAGGTTGTGTGCTACTGTCAATGAGATTAGGGAATGAGTAGGCAAATTTAGGTAATATGACTCTGTAACTGCCACCTATTGTGTGAAATGGTCCACATAAAAGTAAACTGAGATCGGAATTGCCAACAAAGCTGATAAAGGATGTAAGTAACCACCAATTTGCATAATGCAAATATGACTGTGCTACAACTTTCATTCACCATTAGCCAGGAAAGCATTTTTGCTTGAACTAGGTTAGACCTTTAAAAGCCACAGTACACTGACCTAATATTCCTGAACAAACACCAACACTAACACTGGCAGTTCTAAAATAAGAACAATATGCCAAAAGAACCAGGGAATATTAGAACATTCTAAATCGGTGTGCCTGAGGATAACTTTCTAAAACACTGTAACTTGCGGAAAACTTTCTAGAAGCATGTAAATGGAAAGAACATTCTGTACCGGTGTAAATGGGGGGGGGACATTCTGGAACACTGAAAATGGGGACAACATTCAAGAAGAGTGTAAATGGGTGGAGAACTTTCTAGAACAGTGTAAATGATGGAAGAACATTTTAGAACAGTACAAAAGAAAGAAGAACATTCCAGGAGAAAACAGGAAGGATATTAGTAATACACTGACCTAACCAATATTTTAAACATTTATCCACTTTACTACATTGGTAACCCTACAGCAATTAATTTATTTCCCTATATAATGCTAATCCAGACAGAGTCTCAATTTCTAAATTTTATAAATGTCTATGTATCATCATTGGCAGATATGTAAATGAAAAATATAGGTTAATGGCATTGGCTGTCAGTTTGCATATCGAAGCATCCTTAGTGAACATTCTACAACCGTGTAAAAGAGGGGAGGACATTCGAGTACAGTGTGAATACAGAAGACAATCTAGAACAGGGTCAATGGGGGAGAGAACATTCTAAAGAAGTGTGAACGGGGGGAAGATTCTAGAGACACCAGACAGGTACGGCACACCAACTCAATATCTGAGTTTGTTGGAGAACGCTGGTTGCACCAATAAAGTCATCAAGAAAAGTAAGCACTATACTCACACTCATTATAACCAGCACGGATGGATCTGTTGCGGAAACAACACAACAATCGCTGGATGGGTGGTTTAAGTGTGTGTGTACCAGAACACATAGGCTAACATCCAAAGGCATTTCCTTTCTATGACCTCAATGGTTTATCCACCATGTCATGGCAAATCGGGCCTGACAGTCACACCAGCTAAAGGTCAGAGTGAAAGCCATGACATCAGTGGGGTTATTCTGAACTCCAGCCATGAATTGGAAAAGCAGCCCACTTGTAAAGAAAGTGACACAAGACCCATGGCATTAAAGGGACGTTGGTGTTATGACAGGTGACTAAAGGCTGAACATTTCTCATTTCAAAACTCTTTGCTACCAAACCAAACTTGTTTGTTAAAATGTGATAGGGAATTGTATTTGCTGTTCCATGAATGGTTTGAGGAAAAATGTTCCACTTTTCTACTCCAGATGTAGTCGATCAGCCAAGACATGTATGGTGTCCAAATTTTGTTTCTTTAGTTTAACACTAGAGCTACAAGGCTAATGTTGCCAACAAACATTAGAAGTCAGCAACCACTCCAGGCCTTCAACATTGTCACAGAGACTTGTTGATGTGGTTTAGGACACAAAATCATTTACTGCAAACTATGAAGATGAACAAAACCTCACTGTGTAGCTGAAAGCAGGGCCAGCCATTTTAGACAACAGGTGTTGTGCTTCTTCTGACTCCCCTTATCACAGAAGCATACGTACGCTATAGATAACATTCATTGTTTCTATCTATAAAAAACTGTTAATCTAGCATCCATAAAAGGGGAGAACTTATAGAACAGCATGAGTGAGGGAGAACATTCTAGAACAGGAATGAGGGTATTTGCAGTAAAAGCCTAAAACATCAGAGATATTACAGATATTATCATAAACATGACAGATATTTTAAATCAATACTGTTTTGATGTGTTTATTGTACTCAGGAAGGGCAGAACGTATAGGTGATGCTGGGTGTATACATGTGAACGGGAGTCAGATTGTGTAGGGGGGTCAGAATTCCGCACAACCCCTGTCGAATAAAGTGGCAGCTTTTATCTACACGCATCAATTTGGCTCATTTTTATAGCTCACCCTAATGAAGACCTGTATGTGGTCTGGGTAGGCTAATTGAAGCTTTGGCCATGTATATAAAGGAAAGATGTAGATAACTACTGACTTGTTTTCTGACTACATCTGGTGGAAGTGTAAAAATATGTAAACTAGATTTTTCATCAAATTATTCCTGTAAGTGTAAGCTTTGCTGTGGACTGAAATAGGATCCATCTTTTCCATTGAACTGGTTGGTTGGAACAGGTCCCGTCTTCATTCTGGCGTTTGATTATTCAGACAGTTTTAGTACCGTCTGCTTGAGTCCTGACCTCGAATGCCTCTTTTCATAGATGAATCCAATGATGGTTAGTGACAGCAGTCTCACTCACAATTAATCCGCATGACCAAGTTTTCCCTCTGTCATATCACTCACAATTCCACAAGCACACAGTTGAGTTACTCTAATGGCATGCTGAAAATTAAACTGCATTAGGCATCTGAATTCAAGTCACTGCATACACAAACAGCGTCTGATAATAGGCACAACACCACAGCAGCAATAAAGACAGAAGCACAGAGCACTCCTAGATAGACCGAGTCATTCCGGAGGCTGTATTGAAACTAAACAGTTAGGGAAGCCCCGTCGGGCAGGCAGCCTGGCCTATTCTAGAGCTGTGCACGGCTCCACGGCCTAGGCCACACAATGCCAAGGCCACAATACAGCCATTCAGCCGAGACGCCCGATGGCTCTGATCAAAAGCATGCACAGAGAATAGCAGCAGACACAGCCAGCACATCACGGCCTGAATGCATGCCTAGGGCTGATAAGCAAGCCATCATCAGGACGATGCTAAGTTAGATGAGTTCAGGAGGACGCTAATGCCTGGAAGTTTGCGTTTTGTTGCACATTCCTCTTTGTTTCTGGAATGAAAGCTTGGAGAGATTTCAAAAGACAAGCCTGTAGAGAACAGTGCTATCAGGAGAGTGCAAGTCTTCTCTTCAAGAGAACACCACAAAAGCCACCACAAATTTTCATAGACTCCCTTGTTCCTTCAGAAGTGCATATCTAAAAAGACAGCATGGCAGAAATGAGCCATAGGCTTCATGTTCACAAATTCCACGAATATAGACAGGACATGTGAGCCACATGACATGGAAAGAAAATGATGGCGTTTATGAAACAAGTGGATAATGGGGAGTCTCTATATATTTCACTTGATAGCTAATCCACAGTGCATCTGCTGTGATAACCCACTAACTTCACAAAATAATATTTGCTCATACTAAGAGTGTAACGATTTCAATACATTATCAAAAAATGTTAGGAAACTGTACCAACCATACTCCCCTCACTCTCTTGAGCATTACTCATTTGCCATCTTTCATGAAAAACACTGGCAATGACCAAAACTAGGTATCTGGGTGCATCCTATCAGAGTAAAGTGGGCAGGAAGGTGCAGAGCTTCTGAAGTTCCTTCTAAATTTTAGGGGTTGGGATTTTTGGGGCTTATTATGTTGGAGGGCTGGACAGCTAAACCAATTTTGGCCAAATCAAACTGGGTAGTTTATTATTAGACCTCTGTAGAATCAAGACATTTGAACAAATAAACTATTGGAAATTTAATCAAATACTGAACTTAGAATCAGTATCAAAACTGAATATTGTACAAATGTACTGCTATACCCTTAACTCATAGCGAAAACAAAGACCTACTACCTTGTTATTAGTAACTAACATCTGTACGGCATACTAAGGGTGGGCAACATGACAATATTTTATGATAAATGACAATATGTTATGATAAATTATATATTATAAATGTGCTCTTCTGGGCTTAAAAACACTGACCAACTGCATGTTTCGATAAAAAAATAGAGCATGATTAGTGCAATGCAGTATATGAACCGCTGAATAAAAATCCCAGTACTCATAACTTAACAATAATTTATATATGTGGCACTGCTGGGCCATTCGGTCTGTCCAAACCTCAGATAAACAAAATATTGTAATAAGTATGGTCTATTGTATAAATGTCTTCTTCAAGTATCACGATACTTTATTTCTGCCATATTTCCCAGTCCTACCTCATACTTCATAACTAGTTATTATGTATTGCAGCATTCAACTCTCAAGCCAGATTCACAGCTGGTACATATCTGTAATCAGTTATGCTTGAATAAATGTCCTCAACACATGGCCACTACCAAAGGCCTCCAAACTGCTGACCTGAAGCTCATTCTTCCTAAACCCATGGGATTTCCCCAGGTATTTCCTATTCACTTATCTGACCAGTAGGCAGCCTCGGGTCGGCCGAGGCCCCGCCCACTCCAGAGGGAGCGCGACTGCTACTGGCCGCCATATGAATGAACGCGCGCTGACCAGCTGTCAGTCATGTGAAACTCTTTAAATCAGTCATCTGATAAAAGAGAGCATGATTCATCAAGAAAGGGCAACGGAGGGGATATGGGCGATTTAAATTCAATGGAGTACACGATGTTTTGCTACTTTCTGTGGCTGTTTTAACCCCAAACAGCACCAGTGAACCAGCCTCAAAAAGTAGATCATGTCTGTAGCTGCAAGTAGGAATTAGAGTTGAGTGATGTGTTTTGGTCAGTCAGCATGCCATGTTACTAGTATGAGGCTACCAGCTTTTCAGTTTTGGGGGGCACCGTGGCTTGTCCTCCACTCTTGATAGAGCACGATTCATCAAGAAAACACAACCTAGAGAATATGAGTGGTTAAAAATGGAGGGAATATAAACGAGTAAACTACGTTCGGCTACTTTCTATGGCTATTTTAAACCCCAAATCCTCGTAAACCAGCCCCAAAAGGGGCCCAAACATTAATTATGTGCGTGGTGGGTAGAAGCAGAAATAAGAGCTGATGTGTTTTGTCACTCAGCTGGCTAATCAGCATGCTAAGTTAATAGTATGGGACTACCAGTGTTTGAGTTTTGGAGCCTCCATGGTTCGCCCTCCTCTCCTCCATTAACGCCTCCACGCGTTCCAGTTGAGCTCTGACAACCTCCCGCTGGTGGAAAGTGAACGCCGGGTGTAAGGAGGCCATGGTGAAGAGCAAAGCCAGCTGCTCCAGAGTCACCGGCTCCGCTGCCTCCTCCAGTCCGGCCTCACAGCTGGGCTGGCCGGGGTGGAGCCCCGAGTAAGGCACCCCACAGCTCCCTATATGCAACACGTCCATATGGCTCAACGTCCGGTACAGTATCCCCGCACACTCCCTGTTCTTGGAGCCCAGCAGGGACAGGCAGACCAGCAGCCTGGAAAACACGACGGGGTCGGCCACGTCCGTCAGCAGCGCCAGGTCGGCGGGGCTGTTCGCCCGCGCCTCGAAGTCCCGCAGGACGTGGAAGTCTTTTCGGGCCAAGTCCTCCAGACAAGAGCCCAGGAAGCGGAGTTCGAGCGGCTGGCACATATGGAGGAGACCGCACATGAACTCCACTCGCTTGGCCGGGCTCAGGCGCAGACCGAACCACTCGAACACCGCCTCCTTGTCGAGTTCGAGCTGCAGCGGGCGGCTCCGTCTCCTGCTGCTCGGCTCCTCGGACCCGTTACAAGCGGCGGAGCTAAAAGCGGAACCGAACGGGCAGTTCGTGCCACACTCGCCGCTTTCCCGTCGCTCCCCGTCGGCCGTGTCGCCCCCCTCCTCCGCCGCTCTCACCGGCAGCCTCATCTTAAGCATTATCCACTCCGTAAGGCGATCTGTTGAACGAGCATCGGTGATATAAGTCTGCAGATACCGCCTTCCCGCCGATTTTTAGACATTCGAGAAGAAATAGTGGCCGAACTGGAACGGAATTCGCGAAAAAAATAAATCTTAGGTTTCTCTCGTCGGGATAGGCGGTGTGGTTGTGGTCAGTTTGCCAGATTACTCGCTCCGCCGTGCCTCCAGAAAATCCTGCCAATCATTTTTGGACTCCTCCCCCCCTCGCCCTGCGAACTGCTGGGTCCTAAACTTCCACTTCTGAAGAAACGAAACTGCATTTGCAACCTGTTTCCATAAAAACGAGACGACAGTATCCTGAAGTCACCGTTAACTAACGTTAGCCATATAAACCGTTACAAATAACGGCCCTCTGCTTGAGAATTCACCATCCGAATTCTAAACACGCGACACTTTGCAAAGCCTCGCGATGATTTAAACTATAGGCTGTCAACCATCCGTCGTTGCCATGACAACGTGCGAATGAAAATTCGATGAATGTTCGCTTTTTCATTTCATATTTTAATTTACAGACATGTGAAGTAATTCTGACATAAATGGACCGGTTCGCTATTATAACCGGGCTGTTGCCATCTAGTGGAAGTCCTTCATTCAACTCTCATTCTTTCCACTAGAGGGCGATGCTTCATCACAGCTGAGCCTGAAAACGCCTGTAATCCTTTGAACAAAACCCAAATCACTCTGTGGCATGTATATGAGGCTCCTCTCGTTCTCCATAATTTCTCATTTCAAAGCTCACAGTGGGTAGAGAAGCCTAAAAACACAAGTAAACACATATGTTGCTACTTCAATGAGTTGGCCTGTTTGATTTGGCCTGCCAGAAAGTTACCCCTCACACAACCAGAGAACAAACATGTTTTTATACTCAATTCAAATGATTAAACTCTCTTTTCTATATTTAAAAAAAATATTTTTGCAACCAAATATTGTAATGTGAAAAAAATATATATAAATTCGTTTTTTTAAATATATTCACCTTCTTCATTTATACTTGTTTTGTCTTTTTGGCCCTCAGCCCACCACAAATATTGCACTTCGGTATTGCACTTTGCGCACCCCTACTGTAGATTTACACTGGAACTTTTTAGCATAGTTTTCTTGCCTTTATTCTTCTCATTTTGTAAATATGAAGGATGAAAGTGGAACTCAGTAAAAAGTAGATTCATTTCCTGAAAAATATACTACAGTAGAATTCAAAAATTCCCAGAAAAATACGAACTCATCGAAATTTAACTGAGGAAGTCTAACCTTGGTCAAAGTTCATACTCTTCCTGTGATGCCACAGCCATCTGTAGCCAGGAGTTCAAGAGAACAATATTGGCCTCGCTGTGTCTGGGTGGGTGGGATGACCCTCTGTCTCGTACTATTACTGAGCACAATGCTAGTCAACACAGGCGTCTGTTACTTAACATAACAGAATTGCCAGTTATCATTCTTGAGCTGTCCAATGATGTTGCATTAGCAACAGGTTGAAAAGATGCGCCGGCTGGCCTGACATGTCTCAGTGGAAGCAGATGCTCAAGGGAGGCCTAGCTAGCAAGTGGAATAGGCAAAGACTAAACTGGGGAGAAAACTGGATAAAAATCACTAAAAGGTTTTAGTCTTTAGTCAGATGGTTTTGCAAGTGTTTTTAGAGCCCATAATCTTGACAACATTGCAGTAGAAATCATTCGACCCTTTTAAAAACTTTGGAAAGATGTGTCAGTGGCACAATAGTAACTTTCCTCATTTCAAGCTGTTCTGCATTTTTACATAATAACTTTGATAATAAATACTTTAGCTTTATTCTGTTCCCCATCCTTGCCACATGCCCTACAGATATAGACAGACCACCCCTACTTGCAGACCTTGAAAGACTTTATATACTTTTATATACATATAATTCATGTTATGTTATGTCCTGCCCTGTTTGAGCTGCCAGGTCTTCTGCTACGGTACCTGAACTGTTTGGGAAAGGGTACGCTGTTGGTAAGCCCACCTTTGATTCAAAATAGCTGTGCTAATATAAAGGTTTGTTTGAACAGAGGATTTGCGTCCCGGGTCTGCGGGAATAAAAATAAACACAGGGGGCCGTTTAAAAAAAGGTACTTCACAGTTTCAGATGGCACCTCTGCCTCATGTGGTTTAAGATGACATTTTTATCCAGATCCATCCTGTCTGCCCCTTATCCTGTAAACATACCTTTTTATTCAGAAACTGTCCAGCTGAGAACGCGGCGGAGGTGGTTATTTCATTGGACGCCTACCTTCAGTAAATGAGAGTAGTAGCCGACACATCTGTGTTAATGTATTCAGCCTTAACTTTTGCAAATATTTTGATGGAAATCAACTGTGTCTGGAGAACACCACAGAGATTGTTTTACTTCTGCACACTCTTAAAAAAGGTGGTTCTTCAAGGGTTCTTTAGTAAAGAAAATGGTGATGAACACTCAAAGAAAACTTTTTGCATGATTAAAGGGTTTTTTGCATCATGAAAGGGTTCTTCAGACTGCAGATTGCAGAGTGCTGTAGATGGTTCTTTTTAGATTCTTTTTGAAAAGGGTTATAGATAGCACCAAAAAGGTTCTTCTATTGTGATTACACTCTTCTATTGTTACGATGTCAAGCCTGTAACAATAGAAGAACCTTTTTTGGTTGTATATAGAACCCTTTTCAAAAAGATTCTATATTGAACCACTTACATTTACAGCATTTAACAGACGCTCTTATCCAGAGCAACTTACAAAAAGTGCTTTGTCCATCTAGAGAAAGTATCTTTGCTAGTTACAAATAGGTTAGAGAGAAAACTAGTCCTGAACCATCTACAGCACATTCTCAATCAATCTAATGATTTTAATGACCATTTAATGATGCAAAGAACCTGTTAATCATGCAAAGGGTTCTTTGAGTGTTCATAGTCCTATACAGTCCTATATTTTCCTTACTAAACAACCCTTGAAGAACCATTTTTTATTGTGTATGTCAAGCCTGTAACAATAGAAGAACCCTTTTCAACAAGGTTCCATATGGAACCATCTACAGCACATACTCCATCAATATAAAAAACCTTTTCACAATGTAAAGAATCCCTTAATCATGCAAAGGTTTCTTTGAGTGTTCATGTTCTATGTAGAACCATTTTCTTTACTAAAGAACCCTTGAAGAACCATCCTTTTTTAGGTGTGTATATCAAGCCTGTAACAATAGAAGAACCCTTTTTGGTGTTATATAGAACCCTTTTCAAAAAGGTTCTATATAGAAACATCCACAGTACATTCTCCATCAGTCTGAGGAACCATTTAATGATGCAAAGAACCTGTTAATCATGCCAAGGGTTCTTTGAGTCTTCATGGTTCTATATAGAACCATTTTCTTTAACAAAGGACCCTATCTTAAGTCTGTAGCATAAACCACATTACACCCTGAGTGTTAGCCTTAAAGGGGAATTCCACCACATGTTTCATTCACTGAGATGTAATCAAAGTCTTTCAGAGTGGTTTGATGTGAAATTGTGCACTGTAGAGAAATGTATCTCTTTACAGTGGTGAAGACAGGAACCAGGGGTTGTGATGTCTGCAGTGCAAATATTACCATTTTATTTACAGTGCAAAATGACCAGTTGACCTACATGTGTCTTGTGAGTTTTTATATGTAATGCTGATGGTACAATAGTAATACATTTGAAACAAAAAAAAAATAGAGTTTTTGTGACTATTTTGCTTTACAATGCACTGCAGGCACCTCTGCACCATGAATGGACCTCTACACTATGAAATGATTGGATGCATTTTAGGCCAAAACCCATAGCAAAAATATCCCAGGCATCAGGCAACATATCTGTAACCGTTTCATGTAACAGCTTGCTGTGAGAAAGCTTTTAGAGCTATTTCAGACGTCTGGTTCCTATCACCACCACTGTGAACAATTCTGACTTGGTAAGTTTCTCTAGAACGGCTCATTTCACATCAAACCACTCTGAATGACTATGTTTACATCTTAACCATTTAATTATGTAGAAATTTTGAAAACTCAGTGGAATTCTCATTTAATGTTTGCGCAACGTCAATAAACTGTACCATATAACAAATGTTTGACAGCAGGAGGTGTAGTGTCAGCTACTCTATTTGTGTCAGTCAGTGGAATAGGCCCAGGCCCCGAAAGCTTGGAGCCTTTTTGGTTTGATTTTCTTTGAAGGTGGTTTTGTGGAGGGGCTGAACCCACACTCCTCCCTTCCTCTCTCTCTCTTTCTCTCTCTCTCTCTGAGCCCTCTCACCCTCTCATTCAGAGCACTGAGGTTATACGTCACTGTCTGTGTAGCTATAAACACAAGCTGCATCTATCCATTCAGCTGTACTTGGGCACACAGGCTTGTGTCAATGATGAGCAGAGTTGGTCCTCTTTCTTAGTTATTCAGCTACTTTTTGAAACTAGCTTAGCAATTCCGGAGCCCATCTGACAAGAGGTGAGTAATCTATTTAACTTTAAGCTTTCTGAATTTATCTTAAGACAAATGAACCAATAGAAGTGGTTCAGGATTACTTGGAGTTAGAATAGTTACATTAACATTACATCACAGTGTTACATTGACTTACATTAAAATCCTTTTCCTTAAGGCTTCTATGAGGTTGTTCTGGCTGCACTGGTATCTTTTGTATATTTATTGGCAGGAATAGGCTTGCAGTGCTAGTTACTTCTCAAAGTAGATGATCTTCATAGGCATATTAGTTTATACTTCAGTCAAGCTGAGTTAGGATGCTGCAAAAAACCCCTTGTTGCTCTGACACATCAGCCTCAGACTGTCTATTCTATTGAATACATAGATACAGTACTGTGCAAAAGTCAGAGACCACCCATCATTTATTTCTTTTCCAGTCGAAATGGCCTTTAAGTACAAGTTCTTCATTTTTCAGTGTTTGGAAAAAAAAGCAGAAAAGATATATTTAACAGAAAATTACACTGAATGTAGAGTGTCTACTCTTTACCTTTATCACACCTTCCATTCTTTTCGGGAGACTCACTTTCACTTTTTTTTTCTCCAAAGTTCAGTCTTAGAAGTTGGTTGCAATTTCTGCTTCTAATGATTCAAGTAATCCCAAACACATTCGGTGATGTTGAGGTCTCCATTCGTTCTGACACTAGCAGCTTCTTTGTTTGATTTGTGATTGTTCCTCTCTTTTATTTATTTCCTTTTCTCAATAAGGGCTTTTTGATAGCTACACATCCTCTTAGACCCCTAGCATTGAGTGGTCTTCTCACAGTGGAAGGATGGACAGAAACACCTGTGGATTTTTTAGATTTTCTCAAAGGTGAAAGCTTTAAGTGCTGTTTACCTGATGGTGGTAGTTTTGGTGGTCTACCAGGTCTTGCATAGTTGTTAGGAGTCCCATTTTAATAATTTCTTGAAACCTTTGGATTATCTTATACTTTCTGAGAATTGTCACCTGAAAAATGGATAACTTGTACTTAATAGGTGTTTTACCTGTTTTGTTGTATGTTCACCTGGCTATTATGAGCAGATAATCACCAAACATGAATAATGTTTTACATACAGGAATTCTTGGATACAGTTTTAATGCCCAGTAGACCTATAATGAGGAAATGGATGCTGGGATTGCTAACGGTCTGTCTTTTCCTGACACACACCAGAGGACAGGATCAGAAGGACACCCAAGCTGGTTTGTTGCCATATTATTTTCCTCTGCTGAAATTTTGTAATAACCACCACCTGATGCACTGTAGCTGTGATGTCCTGAATTATGTTCTCATTACAGTCATATTCTGATATTTTGAAGTGTTACGTTGATGCCCTGATGTACTGTTGACTCAAAACTTATATTTGTTTGATTGAATTGTCGTGAATTTCTCTAGAAACCTATTCCACTCACCGTCCACTTTCTTAGAAACACCTGTCTTGTACGTCCTCTCAAAGGTCACTTTACAAACTACCTACCATATCTACACACCCTACCTAACTTATAGGTAAATACAGAAGTCTACAATTATAGACTGTAGCCCCTCTGTTACTGCACAATTTATCATCCGCCCTCTACTCCATTCATCATTGGTCAATTTTTGACCACAGGACTGCTCCTGGCCAGATATTATTTGGGTGGTGGGCCATTCTTAGCACAGCGCTGACCCTGACATGGTAGTGTGTGTGGATTGTTGCTGGAGTTTTTATACACGTCAGTGTCACTGCTAGGTTAAGAGTGGTCCAACATGTAAAAATATCCAGCTAAAAGAGACTCTGCGGTCAGAAACTGACCACTGATGAAGGGCTAGAGGATGGCTAACACAAACTGTGCATCCACAAATGGTCTACACCATGTAACTGTACACCAAGTTTCTAATCAAGTGGCCGGTGAGTGTAGACCTGTCGGCAAACGCTTTCCTGGACTTGCAGGTTGTAGAACCACTCCAAATGACTTGGTGTACATCATTGATGGCTCTTCAAGTCTGGGGCTTGCGGACTTCGACACGGCCAAGCGTTGGCTCATCAACATCACCAGCAGCTTTGACGTGAGTTCCCGACACACGCAGGTGGCCGTGGTCCAGTACAGCGACACTCCACGACTAGAGATCCCTCTGGGGAAGCACCAGAGCACTCAGGAACTTCTCAGAGACATTGCTTCCATCTCCTACCTGGGGGGCAAGACCCAGACCGGCCGTGCCATTAAGTTCGCCACTGACCATGTCTTCTCCACACCAAACTACACTAAGAAGGCCACAAGAAACCGCATTGCTGTGGTTCTAACTGATGGCCGCTCGCAAGATGATGTGGTGGACTCAGCAATGGAGGCCAAAGCCCAGAACATTGTCTTGTTCGCTGTTGGTGTGGGCAATGAGATCACGAACGCTGAGCTGGTGTCCATGGCCAACAAACCTTCGTCCACTTATGTGCTTCACGTGGAGGACTACACCTCCATTGGGAATATAAGGGACAGGATGGAGCAGAAACTCTGCGAGGGTGAGTTAAGCTCCACTTTTTTGGGCGAGGCATCCCACAGTTCTGGGCTTGGAGGGTGACAGAGGCCCAACACCATCTAATCCTGAGGATGATCTCTGATTTGGAAATGATGGTAGCCATCTTTGAACTCTGTTTAGTAACCCATTTGAGATGTATGTTTGGAAGGAGAGCAGGATGAAAGACAGTTGGATCCTCTGCCAGAGGGACTAATGATTTAATACTGTGCTCTTTCACTGACACGTTTCTCCACATTTATGTTAAGTGCCTTAATTACCTCATTCATTTTAAAGGGCCCAAATCATGGAAAACTGGATTTTCCTCACTTTTTAGAAGTAAAAGAGCTATTTATAGTACTTATACATTGTTAGAGTTTCTAAATGAAGTGTTCACTTGCCAGTTCATACAGCCCATATATGGAAACTAGGCCAATTATGAATTCACTGTTTTTGTGAAGTCACAAATATGAATGTATTCGCATATATCCAGAAGTTTAGCACCACCTATTCACGATGAAGCTATAAGGAGTGTCTCAGCTCAGACTGTCTTTTGGTCAGCCAATCAGAACAGAGATCGTTTACATATATCAGTCTTCAAAGCACAGTACTCGAAACAGGTAAGGGACAAAGCAAGGTGGTTATGTTAAAATGAATTTTTAAAATTAATTTCATTTTGTTTTTGGTACATAAGAACACCCAAATAAGTAGGCCTCAAAGGAAAAAAAAAATACATGAAAAATGTAGGATATGGGCCCTTTAAGAGATGTATAAGACAGTAGCCGAAAGTCAAAAGGAATAGCTCAGTCCAAAATGCTAATGTTGCTAACAGTGAAGAAACTGTGTAGCCAACAATATCTTGCTAATTGATGGTAAGCTGTCAGTCATCGTAAGCCAGGTTAGCATTTTTGGTCAAGCTATTACTTTATGTTTAGTTCCTCCTCTGTCTGCAAGGACAGTGGATTTAATTTAATTCCATTTTTTTGTATTATTTATTCCTATTTATATGCCAATTTTAGATTATTTAATCATTTGAGCTTAAATGCAGTAAAACATTGACTGACTTGTCACATGATGTCATTCCTCAGAATCGGTGTGTCCTTTGAGGATCACTGGTACGGTGAACAGGCAGAAGGGCTTTGACCTGATGAGTCTGATGGACATTGAGGTGGTGGCTAAAAAGGTCCAGGGATCTCTCATTTCAGAAGGCGCTTACCTGCTGAACCCTCGCTTGGACCTCACCCGCAGCACCAGGTAGCTTCTTTAGAAACATTAGTGTCAAAAATACAACCACTACACTGGACATCAGGTGCATTTGGTGTCTTTATGGCTCTTTAATTGATCGAGGCCACTGTTCAAGCTCATACACTCTTAAAATAAAGCTTTCTAAATAGTTCTTGGCTTGGTCAAATTATGTGTTTTGTTGATTTTCTAAGTAAAAATAAGTTAACACCTCTACAGAGAACACATTTTAATGCACAAATCCTGTTTATTCGCTGAATTTAGCATACTGGGAAAAAAATACAAAATGTGGCCTGTGCAAGAGTTATGGCATGTTTTATATTTTATATTGTATGTTTTTTTCTCCCAACATGTTTTAGAACATTTACATTGCACATGCCAAAGAAACTTTATGGCATAGAGTATATTGCTTGTATTGAGAGTGATGATTTGCTTCAAACAGACATTAACCTTCATTTTCACTAAAGTGGCATAACTACCTGAGTGTGGGGGTCTGCAGGGTGACATTCACATTGGGGTACATTGTGATGAGATAAAATCCTTATCACACAATAACTCACACACTCATGACTCACAGAAAGATCCAGTTTCTTACAGTATCTCACCAGTTAGCTTCCATCAACATTACACAGACAGACTTGATGTTTATTTATCTCCATCTTATTTATAATAAATCTCACATATGGTAACTGTTTGCAAACACATCTTTCACAAAATGTTTGCATAATTAAATCATGTAAATAAATATTTAAATAAGATGTAAATAATGTTATTCAGAGTGGTTTGATGTGAAATGCTCCATTTTAGAGAAACTGACCAAGTCAGAACTGTTCACAGTGATGGTGATGGGAACCAGACATCTGACGAGTTTAATGTCTCTTAAAGCTCCTTCACAGAAAGTTATTATATAAAAGTATTACAAATAATGCTGCCTGACGCCTTAGATATTGTTTTATGATAGTTTTGCGATAAGATTTTGGCCTAAAATATACATTTTTTAATACATTTATGGCAGAGAGGTACATGTAGTGTGTTGTAAGGCAAAATAGTCCCCAAAGAATTTTTTTTCAAAATTTACCACTATTTTATCATTACTAACATTACATATTAAAACCTCAGAAGACACATGCAGGTTCACTTGGATCATAAATAAAATGGCTATATTTGTGCTGTAGACCCCTGTTTTCTATCACCACCACTGTAAAGAAATCTGAGTCTGTAAGTTTTCTTACAATGAACCATTTCACAGCAAACCACTCTAAATAGCTGTGTTTATTTAGAGTGGTTTGATGATTACTTAGATCATTACAATCAATGAATATATGAAAATATGTATTTTATCAAAAGTATGCATGCTGCTCAGCAGAGGTTCTCTGGAATCTATGTAACCTTCTTATTTGGCTTGTGGCGTGTCAGACAGATAAATATGACATATAATTATTGTGATCCAAATAGATGGAATCTTTAGTTTAATGTTAGATGCTAGTGGGTGGAGTGGTGTACCTTGAGAGCATTAACTTGTTTGAGACATAATCATGGCGAATAAACAAGCAAATTACAGTCTCATTTTTTTATTCATTGCACTGGGGCCTATAAGATACACTGTTTAAACATACTGATACACTTCACAGAGAGATCTTTCCAGAAGGCCTCCCTCCTTCATACGTGTTTGTGGCCACTCTGCGTGTGAAGAACCCAGCACACCGTATGAAGTTTGACCTCTGGAGGGTGCTGTCTGAGGATGGGATCAAGCAGGTTGCTGTGACCTTTAACGGAGCTGAGAAATCGGTGACCTTCACCAGCACCAGCACAGCGAAGAATGAACAGACAGTCATATTCAATGACCGAGGCATTAAGGTCTGTCAGATCTTTTAAACACATTATTCCTGCCAATTCCTAACGAGGTTAGAATTGCAGTTGTTGTATACTTCAGAGTTTAACACATAGTAAATTACTTTGTATTCTGTATTCTGCTGCTTGGCTTGGATGAGATACAGATATTAGGATATAACTTGCAGGCTGTTTGCTTCCGAGTGTTCAGTTTTTATGTGGTATTTGTTCACTTTTGGGGAAAATAATTTATTTTTAAATTTCTTTGGATAATCTATTTTTAAATTTAAAGATGCACATAATTAGATGCCGCATACATCATGGATCAGATCAGTGTGTGGCAGAGGCGTGCTGGTTTGTACCGAAGTAGCAGCGTAGTCTTCTAGCATCTAACATAGCAGGCCTCAATCACAGAATGTTATTAAAAGATTTTCTTCTGTGTTGTGCTCTTGAAAAGGGAATAATAAAAGAAGTGAAACTAAAACATGGTGTTTCACTTTTGCCATTTGCTCGATGAGTAAAACCAGCAAGAACTTTCTCTTCTGGATAACTGCAGATCTTTAGCAATCAACTTCTTACAGCCTTCTTCTTGCCTTAAATGCAGATCTATTTATGCTTTTTTACCATTGCTGTTTGCTGCTGAGCAAAGTCAAAGAAAGTGTGCTTAGTTCTAAGTTGTTTTGTCTGATTAAATGTCTCTCAGTCATTCTGAAACAACTGTCTGTACAGCCAAGTGAAGACAGCAAGAACAGCCATGCTGTAAGCATAAACAGTGCAGAGCTTCAGAAGACATGAGACTGTAAATTCATAATGAGTCAGTGAAAAAGCCCAGTTGTTAGTGTTAAAATATGTGTCTATTAAATTGAACCAGATGATAAACTGCCAGTTAAACATTGCTATTAATTCCTAAGAGACTCACTTTACCTTTTTTACATGTTATATTTTATTTGCCTTTACTAGCAGGCTGAACAGCAGCAGAAAGCTTTGCTGGCTAACAGACTAACACTACATAAAAGACAGACTTCAGGTTTAAGCTTTTAAATAAAGCGTTACTTAAAAAAAGGAGACATACAAAGTAAATAATGTTACTTACATGCCTGTTAGGCCCAAAAAAAAAAGAGGAAACACTGGTTTTTAAATATGTCTATTGTGTTTAACCTGCATTGCATCATTTTGTGTGTCTTTTTTGTGGCTCCTCGTGCTCCTCATGAGGAAAATGCATATTAATTCCTCTATTCTGTTATTCTGTTTCTCCAAAGAGGCTTTTTGATACAGACTGGCACCAGCTGAAGCTGTTGGTGAAGCCCAAACGCATCACTTGTTACCTAGATGATGTGTATGTGGAGGAGCAGCTCCTGGACCCAGTGGTTCCTATTTACGTCAACGGCAAGACACAGGTGGCCAAAAAAGTCAACATAGAAACCACTGTCCCAGTAAGTGGTTCCACCATTTCATTATTCTGTCCTCAATGCAATCCCACGGCACATTTAGTAAGCCACTCTGCCCTATATGCTAACCCAGCTGTTTGTCTAAACTGGGCTACTTTTATTTTCTACTAGTTTTTTTGCTAGCAAATTTCATTTTACTGTGACTTACTGTGACTTATTGTTATTGTTTTATCAGTTGCTTGATGAGAGATTTTTTTTCTGTAACATGTTTTGTTCCCTGTGAGAAAAAACCAGCAGAAACCAACGAAAGCAAGTTGTGTTTTGGATGCTAATATGCTAGCCAGCATAAATCAGCATAAATTCAATGCTAAGTGACCAGCAAGAACCAGCACAAACTAGTTTGGGTTTGGCTGTTGGTTTAAATGAACTAATATTAATTGAATAAAAAAACAGCTTATATCAGTGTGATGAATTCATGTTTTTTTTCCACAGAGTTAGGTTAGTTAGCTAATATTCTCCCTGCTTGAAAAACTAGCACAGACCAGTATGGCTGGTCACCAGCAAAACCAAGATGTGCTGTGTTTCTGATGCTGGCATGGTGGTCATCACCAGCAAAACCAGCATATTTTGTGTTTTGGATGCAAGTATGCTGGTCAACCAGCATGACCATGCTGAGTGACCAGCTTTCCCAGCACTCCTTCCTGCATGCTGGTCTGCACTGTTTTTTTTTCAGCATGGCAGCCAAACCAAAAGTGCTAATGCTGAATGAAATTTAGCAGAGCCTGTTAAAAGAATGAACAAGCTTATGCGTACTCATGTTCTCATGCCCTGTTTTCGTTCCTTGTTAGCCATATTAGCCTTTTGACTAAGCATTTAAATGCTCTGTTCTGTTCAGATCATCCTGCAGAAGCTGCGGCTTTATTGTGATCCGCTCCAGAGTGAGAGAGAAACAGCTTGTGAGATATACTCTGTGGTAAGACTGTTAACTGTTTACCTACATCATATGCCACTTACAATGTCCTTCATTTTCTAACTTCTCCTTATGTCTCTTCAACACAGGAGGATGACAGGGTAAGTTTTCAGCCTACCTATGGATTTCTGCAGCAGCCTTTTTCGTTCCATGTCATGTCATGCGTCATCTGATTTTTTATGTGTTACATCATCAGTGTCCTGCAGATCGTGCTCTTGCTGTGGAGGGATGCGAGTGCCCCAGTGGCAAACCTGGTCCACCTGGCCTACCTGGTCCTATGGTAAGCCATTTATTTATGCTAGCCCTCTGACAACTGAAGGTGTCACAGTTTATAAACTCTCATCTCTATTTCATAGGAATCTAGTTATATACAGGCTTTTAAATGTTCACACATGAAAGAATACTGTTCTAATATTTTTACAGATTTAGGAAAAATAAATGTTGAACTTTTTGGAATGGCAATTGATGCGATATTGGTATCCCATCGATGTGCCTAAGTTGTGAGAAAAAAACACACAAATGGCTTAAAGCATGTATAGTTTGTGGATAGGTGAGCAATATTAGCAAAAAGTGTTGTTCTATTAATCTGTGTACATCAGAAAATGTGGTTTAATTGATATTGCTCCAGCACTAACTCTGTGGTAAATGCAGGGGTTCAGGGGAGAAAAGGGGCGAGAGGGACCCCCCGGCCCAGATGGAAAGCCTGTGAGTCAAAGTTTCTGCGTTCTGTCATTGAGATGTAAACAAAGTCATTTAGAGTGGGTTGCTGTGAAATAGTTATTGTAAAGAAACGTATGAACTTGTGATTTCTTTACAATGGTGGTGATAGGAACCAGGGGTCATGTGTACAGCTCAAACATAACCATTTTATTTACAATCCCAATGACCAATGAGTCTACATGTGTCGTCTGAGGTTTTATATATAATTTTGCTAATGGTTACATGGTAGTAAATGGAAAAAATGTTTTCTTTGGATACTATTTTGCTTTATAACACCTTGTATGTACCTTTCCACCTTGAATTCATTAAACCGTATATGTTTTAGGCCAGAATCTTAAACCTATTGTAAAATAGTATCTCAGGCATCATGTATTTATAACCATTTCATGCAATAACTTTCTGTGGCATTGCTTGTAGAGGCATTAAATGCTTCGGATGTCTGGATCCTGTCACCACCACTGTGAACAGTTCCGAATCTGTAAGCTTCTCGTGAACAGAGCATTTCACATCCTAACACTCTCGATGACTCTGTTTACGTCTTAATCAAATCATACAGCCATTTTGAAAAATCTGTGGAATTCCTCTTTAATGTCTTGGTTATCAATATCAGTAGTGCTTGTGTCCTTAATTTAGTCCAATAGCATATTAGGAAAAATATGAATCTGCATTTCTTGATCTTTCCTTGATAAGGGGAAGCCTGGAGAAAGAGGGACACCTGGGGAGCCTGGAAGAAATGGGGAGAAAGTGAGTGAAATAATCTTTTAAATAAAGAAGATGACATATTTCTTTGATCGTGAGGCCTAAGGCACTAGTTCACTCACAGATTTGCCCATAATGAATAAAGGGTGCTAGTTAGAATTACACAAATGAGATTATGTTATAATTTATTGTAAGCCTGTTTGTTTTTCTCCCTTCTTCCTCCTCTGTTTCCAGGGTGAGGCAGGTCAGCCAGGACAAAAAGGAGAGAGAGGACTGACTGGTGCCAAAGTAAGTCATATAATCATACCTTAAAGTTAGCAAAAGCTGCCCACATTAGTCATTTTAAGAAGCAGTTACACCTTTCACTTTGCAGTGTATCCCTACATTTTTCATATAAAGAATAGACACATTATAGGTTAGACTGGCTTTTCTGTCAGTACATTTCTAACACACCATTGATAATTTGTCTATACTTTGTCATGCTTTGCAGACATATTACTGATTGTGACATATGCACACTCTTCACAGGGGGATATGGGAATACCAGGACCACCAGGAAGACCTGGCCCCCCAGGACCAACAGTAAGACAAATGTTAAATCAATAATTCAACCAAGAATCAAGTGCAGAAAGTTTTCTCCTTAACCCAGCTGTTCAGCTTGTTTGATGTGTGAAGTGTGCTTGCTTAGTTTTGGACTGGAGCAATGAGGCTAATGAAGCTAATAGTTTAGCACAGTGCTAACTGCATGATTAAATCATCACATACTTGCCCCAAAACATGGTTTCTGACACTGTATGATTTACTGTTATCTATAAAAATGAACAAAAGTATCTTGCATAGTTAAAAACAGTAGTAGCAATCAAACAGTGACGTTCCTTCTTCTTTAGGGCCCCGGACTGTCTACATGGGATGATTCTGGAGTAGAAGGAAGCAAGGTAAAAATATCTTATGTCTAAAACACACAGATCACATTAATGTGTAGAACATCCCAGTGTTCTGCCATTACGCCTCGCCTCACTGATCTGAATGTGTTTATTCTAAAGGAAATCTCAGGACAGCCAGGGGAAATGGGACCTCCAGGAAAACCTGGACCAATGGTGAGGCATTGTATGATCTTGTAGCATTGCTTCTGGTCTTGCAGTATGTTTATGAAGTGCAGCTTTATTGGTGGGGACAGTGCCAAAAGACAAAGTAGAATTGACCAAGATGACACAGAAATTACATACTGATAAGGAAAGAGACAAATGTGGATCATTACTGCTTAAGAAATACATACAATACAAAAACAGGCAAGGATCTGCCTCTGAAAAAGTCTACTTACAAAAGCTTTCCCAACTTCCCATATGTTTGTAATTTTCCGTTAGTTTTCCTCACATTTTTTCCGAAGTGGCAAATTCAGTCAATGAATGAACCCACATTTGGTGTTGCCTTCCAACATCTGAAGTTCTTTTGCTTTTGCTGCTGTGACTGTTCTGTTCTAATATTTCAGTGCGGCCCCTAAAATATATAATTTTGGTGGGACTGGAAGCTCATAATCAAACCAAAGTCCAAGATTTTAGTACTGTCCCTTCCAGGCATGATCATTGTGCATTCCCATTGCGTATGAATATGTGTATCAGTTTCTGACTTGTAAAGCTCCTGTTGACTGACACATTCATTTAGGCTTGAAATTACAGACTGGTGCAAGTCATACCATTTTGGAAGCTTTTTGGAAGATGTTCGGTTAACACTTTATTCTGATGTAGATGCTCAGCTTGTCTTTAGCTTGCATTCGACTAAAAGAGAATTTCACAGATTTTTCCAAAGTGAATGCATAATTAAGCTGTTGAGATGTAAACAAAGTCGTTCAGAGTGGTCGGAGGTGAAAGGTTTCATTGTAGAGAAACTTACATACTCAGATTTGCTTACAGTAGTGGTGATAGGAACCAGGAGTCACATGTCTACAATGCAAATATAGCCAGTTCATTTATTATTATTTATTTATTATCCAAAACTGATTTTCAAAAATAGACTTTAGGCCAAAACATCATCTCAAAACTATCAGAAAACTATGTTTCAGGCATCAGGCAGTGTATTCATAAAAAAATCATGTAATAACTTTCTGCAAGGGAGCTTTCAGAGGTATTAAACTCTTCAGACGTCTGGTTCCTATCACCACCACTGTGAAGAATTCTGAGTGTTAATCTCTCCTGAATGGAGCATTTTACATCAAAGCACTCTGAATGACTTTTAAAATGACATTTAAAAATGACATTTAAAAGATTGAATTATGCAGAAATTTGGCAAAATGCTGGAATTCCCCTCAAATTTTCCCCTAACATACACTCTAACCCAACCCTCAACCCAAAAGCTACATCTAACCCCAATTCTCACCATAACATTACAGATGATCTACAGGGAACCATCCACATAAAGTAGGACTAGTGTTTGCAAGCAGACAAAACGCTGTAATATTTTTGCAGTGGTTCAGAGAGTAACCTGTTATTTAACACTATATTTTCTCTATAGGGCGAGCCTGGTATACCTGGAAAAGATGGACTCCCTGGGCCCGCTGGACCAAAGGTACAGTAATACCTATAATTGCAGATTACAACTGGCTTTTTTTTCACTCATAGCAATTACTATTCCACACCTATCCCTGCTGCTTCAGAAGGCCGTGCCATGAAACAGTGCCAAGTATGCTGATCTGTTACTGCAACCAAAAGACACACATTGACAGACTATTTTGAAGCTAGTCAAAGCCAGCTAATGTCAGAATTTCTCGAGGTCCTGTTAGCTCACATGGGAAAAGTCTATGCAGAGCTATTTTTAAGAGCTCAGGGGCATATTTGTGGTTGGGCCCTTTTTCATCCTCCTCTTAGACATTTTTTGCTGTTTGCCAACATGAAGCAGACATCTTCCCTCAACCCAGCTAAATAAAGCAGCTGTGACGCCCAGATTGTGATGAGTAGATGACACAGTCTTGTGTTTCAGGGCTAGTTCACTGTACATTGGAATGTAAGGCGGGGGGACTGTTTAGAGTCAAAACATTGACGGAAGGTATTTGCTCATTTCTTGGGGTCTGGCAAAGACATTTCTTTGGTCAAGAGTTTTTAAAGTTATGCAACTGAGTGAAAAGAAAAGTGTTGACTAAAGGATGACCGTCAGTAAACGGCTGTTTGAGAGCCTTATTGATTTTCTTTAGATGCAGCACATGGTTATTTTGCATGAGTAGTTGCAAATGGCCATTATTATTATTAGTTGGCAAAGGTGGGCGATACGGCAGAAATATAATATTCCAAAATTTTGTGATATTTATGATAAACGATATGTATCTCATAGAGATGCCACTGATTCAGTACTAGGCATCCGTATCAAGTCTATATTAGGAGAAAATGCTGGTTTGGATATTGGAGGGAATAAAAGAATGTATCCAATCGATTCCTATACCAAATCTAGTCAGAAATAACATGCAGTATTTGAATAGTTTGAGCATAATAGTCTACTTTTAGGTGCACATATTAAAATGAGTTTCAATTAAAAATAGCTCATTTGAAAGCTTTTTTTATTTTATTTATTTTTTTTTGTCAGATAGGAATCAGTATCGGCAGATATTCACAATTTCAGTATTGGAAGTCAGTATCACAAAAGAAAAAGTGGTATTGTGCCACCTCTAGCACCACAGTGTTTTGATTTGAATTGTGAGAACAATGGATGAAATGCACCAGTAAAACAGTTTACAAAAGGCTATGAAAAAACAATACAATACATACTCAAAATACAAAGTACAATTCATTTTTAAGGAAAAAAATCAAACAATTGGTAGATAATGTCATGATAGACTGACATCTAATCTGCTACTATATTACTAATTTATAGAGATGTATGATCATATTTGCATCATATCAGTATCTGCATGTAATAGTTTACATAAATGATCAGCAACAGGTGATCACTTATGTAAACGATTATTTCAAATCGATATTTGATTAATTTATTGTATTCCTGAATAGCAGATTGTTTAAGCGCCGCTGGGTTACTGTGCTTAAATGTCTCTATTTTATTCATTTTGCTGTGTTTTTAACCCTCTACAAATAAAACTTATATGTCTCCATAGTGTTAATCCGGGTAGATATAGTCCCGATTTTTACATTTTATGAATGTGTATATATTTGCATCAGCGTTGACAGATATATGTGTGAAAAATATTGGAAGCCTGCATCAATCAGCAGACAATTCCTACATCAGTGCACCCCCTAATAATTTATGTAGCTACTGTACACTGGTTGCTGTTGTTGTTGTTTTTGTTGCTGTTGTCGTTTACAGTCTTTCTATAAATTATCTAAATTCTGTCTTTTTTATGATTGTAGAAGTACTGGCGTTACGAATGTTTTGGTCATACCCAAGATATACTCAAAAAAGTGTATTGTGGCACAATAATGATAAGATATCGCCACATTGCCACCCCTATTAGCATTTCTTGCAGAGTGAATTTGAGTGTAATTTTATGCATTGCGTAATAACTAAGAAAATTAGCTTGATTTGCTACAGTCTGACCTTTCACTCAGTAGAGTGTGAGTAGAGGGGTAGTGTGTTCACAGTTTGTTTCTTTAACTGAGGCTTTTCCATCATCACTAGGAGCACTTGGGCGTCTTTCACCCAAACCTATTTTGAGCCCTCTGCATCTGTCCCAGCATCTGTGTTGGCTACTGCCCAGGGGGGAGAAACACTCTCTCTCTCTCTCTCCTTGACACCCTCCCTCCTGTGCACTTACAGTTAGTGACATTCTTCCATTTACTGCCCCATTAAGCTATGCACACTTACCAGCAAACAGCTTTGATAAAACCTCTTGGCAGAGTTCAGCGTTTGCTCATTTCTGATAATTGGATGCAGGTCTGTTTGGAAGATGTGACATTTAGAGATGCTGTTTAAATCCAGTGCTTGACTAATTGACTCTCTTAATGAGGAATTTTTCAAAATTTCATGCATAATTCAATTCTTGATACATAAACAAAGTCATTGAGTATATTTTGATATCAAATTGTGCAAAAAGAGAAACTTACCTACTCAGATTTCTTTACAGTAGTGGTGATTGTGAACCAGAGGTAACACATCCATTGCTATTTTATTTACTACTTCAAACCACAAATGAACCTACACAGGTCTTCTTTCTGTGGGAACTATTTTACCTTACAACACCCTGCTTGTACTCTCCACCAGGAATGGGTCTAAAATATTGTTTTAATGCAAAGGCTTATCCAAAATTATTGCAAAACAATTAGGCAGATTTTTTTACAAAACTGATGCAATTCTTATTTCAAGGAATAGCTTGACCTAGCTTAAAGAGGAACTCCACTGACTTTTCAAAATGTCTGTATAGGTCAATCGTTGAGATGTAAACAGAGTCATTTAGAGTGGTTCACAGCAGTTCTGATAGGAACCAGACGTCTGAAGAGTTTATTGCCTGTAAAAGCTCCCTCACAGAAAACTTTACAAGAAATGGTTATGAAGACACCGCTGATGTCTAAGACATTGTTTCATGATAGTTTTGCAACAGTCTTTTGGCTTTAGACATATCACTTTTTATACATTCACGGCGGAGAGAAACTCTGTGAGACATAAAAGTCCTCAAAATAAATCATATATTTTTCCATCATCACTGTTACATTCATATGCTCAGAAAACACAGGTAGATTCACTGGTTGTTTTGGACAGTAAATAAAATCATTAAAGTTGCACTGCAAACATTGAAACTCCTGGTTCCTATCACCACCACTGTAAAGAAATCCAAGTCAGTAACTTTTTCTACAATAAAACAATACAAAATAAACCACTCTGAATGACTTTGTTAACATCTCGACGACTAAGCTTTGCAGAAGGTTTAAAAAAATGGTGGAATTCCCCTTCAACATGCTAACAACGAAAGGAAACTAGCAGCTACAAATTATCTTGACTGCATTTCCAGAAGTACTAATTGGTGGCTACAGAACAAAGCTCTCCATACAGACGTACCGTGAGCTAAAGCATATTTTTGGACTGTATATTTTAAGTTCACCTAATTAGAAATGGTTATCTAAACATTATATATTTTTCCTGAGTTCCTTGACTTGTCTAAATGACTGGTCTATTTTAGCCAACATACACTCTCAGGCAAAATGGAAAATGGGTGAAGCGTCAGTTCAGACTCACTGCCTTAAATGTAGTCAGTGAGCCAAGATGCTAGCTAACAAGAAATGAAAGTTTACCCCAACAATTAGCACCATGCTTACTGTATGCCTAAACCATCACACACTTGCTTCAAACCACTTTGAGTTGGTAAGTAATCTCAAACAGACTTGTTTTTGTGGTTTCTGACACTGTATGGCATACTGACATCTGTAAACATGGACAGAAGTCATAGCATAGCTAAAAACAGCAGCAATCTTAAAATCTGAATTTTGTCTGTACTTTTGTCCATTTTAATAGATAATGCTGTCATACTGTCTATTTGAGATTACTTCACTTGAGTTTTGAGGCAAGTGTACATGTAGTTTTCACAGTACTAATTTTTGCAGGTATAAACCTCCATTACCTGCTGGCTACATTAGCCTTGAAGCTCTAAAAGTAAACTTCAGACACCAAACAGGTTTTGGCTGGTTCCAAACTATTATTAAGCTTATAATGATGTTTCTCTTGGTGAACATTGACCTGTGCTATGTAATTATGTAGAATTTTCAAGGAGAATGTTAAAGTAATAGTCTTTTCTTTGGTGCTGTGAGATGTAGAGTAAAAAGTAAACTACTAGGGACAGGTTTGGGTAGGATAATGTTCTTTTCTGTCCACATCAGTCTTATTGGAGTATTCTCCACCCTCTCCAAGCATCCTCCCATTTTGGCCTCCACCCCGAGATCAGAAAGCCCAGGTCGCGCCCCCCCTGGCTCCCCGTCCCCAGAATGCTGGCTACAGTGGGTGATTAGCTAACCGAGGCGTGGTTTGATGTGGCCCAGTGGATAAAAGCCTGATCGGGGTGGGTTTGCCACGGTACAGCCGGCACAGCCGTCCTGCTGGAAAAGCTCTGTAATCACAGGGTTTGGGAGCATGTGCGGCATGGCTGTAAAACCAACCGCCCTGCTGGTCCTGTGCCCATACGTTACTGGACCCATTGACATGTCAAAGGTTTGTGTTTTCACAAACTAATCTCTATCTGATACATCAGGAGAGTACGATAGATTACCACAGACAAACATGTTTTCCTGGTACTTGTTAAAAGAACAGAAACCCATTGACTCGAAACTCACTTATAATAGAAGCCAGTGGGCAGCTGCTGAAGGAACGGCCCATTGGTGTCTATTTTAAGTGTATTTTGAGTCAAAGAGTTTTCTGTTCCTTTTTCAGTTGACAGTGTTAAATGTGTGTAGACTGAACGATACAAATCTGGCAAATAGAGATTAGGTTGAAAAACACCAAATTCCTTTAAATAGAAGGAGTGCTAACATACAGTAAAATGCAATGGACTTCATCTTCGCTTAAAAAATTCCCCTCAAAATAGCTGTAAGACTAAAACTACGGTGCAGTCTCATAAAACAGCGTAATTGGTGCCCTGG